TAAAGCTTTAGCTCACATACTTTAGGCACGTGTCCAGGAAGAAACAATCATTGGCTGAGGACATCATGCTCAGAAGAGTGGAGGGACAGCACAGGAGAGGAAGCCCCTGATTGAGATGGATTGATACAGTGACTGGCTCAGGACAGGGCAGGGTTCAGAGATGCTGTACATAGGGTTGTTTTAGGTTGCAGGTGACTCAATGCTGCATAACAACAAAACAACTGATGAGGCGCAAAGAAAGTTATGCTGTTAGCCCAAAGGTAGCATCTTTGGTTTGTATCCACTAGGTGCTTCAAGCCTCAGAAAAAATCACTCAAGGATTAAGTGATAGCAACTAGTTTAGTCTTTTTTGTATATGCAGTCCCTAACAGGGATGGAGTGCTTAGTAAGCAAGGTAATCTGTGTTGCTGTTAAGTGTCACTGAGTCCACTACAACTCTAAGTGACCTTATAAACATCAGCTCTGAACCTTGCCCAATCCTGTGTCATCCTCACCATCTCTGATATACTCAAGCCCATTGTTACTTCACTGTCAATCCATTTGGTGAGTCTTCTCCTTCTTTGACCCTACACCTTTCCCAGGATGATGTCTTTCTCCAAGGACCAATACTAATCTATAATAGGGAACAGTTTTTACCATATCAAAAGATCTAGAAATTGTCTAAGATTATATTATGGTGATAGTTGCACAAGTTAGTAAAATGTCACTGAACAGAACATTTTAAAAAATGGGTGAGTTGTGTGTTTTTTGTTGTTTTTGTTTTTTTTTGCTAAGACAAGCAATAGAAAGATAATTAAAAAGATAATGTGAAAAAGCTAAAACTATAGAAACACAATGGAGGGAAGACAGAGAAAGCTAGCGTTCTCTTAACACAAACCTGTATTTACTTTTTCAATTTCACTTTGAATCAATGTAAATTCCTATATAAATAAATTAAAACAAGCAATTCCTAAAAGCTGAAATCAGATAAAAACATATATCCAACTGTACTCTGCAATGCTGCATTTTTTATTAAATTATTTTTTTTTGCAAATTTTATTTTGCCCACACAGCAATGTACCTCTTGGTCCAGACTGGTGACATACATATAGGAATGTGACTTAACAGAGAAAGAAATGATTTCATATGACTTTAAAATACAATAATTTGCACATCTTTAGGTCAAAAAAAGAACTGCAAAGAAGTAATAAAGTTTAAGTGATTATATGGAAATTAATATTTATATTGTTATTTAAAGTAGTATATTATATGTAACATATATGACCTAATGTATACATGTATGTGTTCACAATCCTACTGATCAAGATCTTCTGTGCAAGATAATTAAAAAAAACAAACAAACCTAAAATAGAGAAAACTGTGCAACCATAATTTGAATTAAAACTATTAGAATGCATTCATTATTTTTCTTAAAAAAGAGAAAAATACAAATTTTGCCCATCTCTGTCCACAGAATAAAAGCTTTTAAACAATGATCAACCAAGCAACACTAAGATTCTGGTCAACCAATTAAGACTTGGGCCTTCTAGAAGATATGGCTGATTGGAGCAAGAAACATAAAGGAGTGAAGACAGCCCACCCCCCATCACAGAAGTAAAGAAAGTTATTAAAGATTGCGAAGGTTATGTCAAAGGACCTAAAAATCAACTTGAAGAAATTCACATTGGCTATTTGAGTATAACAATTAACACCTTTGGTTCAAGTCAGGAAGTAAGGAGATGCATTGCACTGGGAAAATCTGCAGTTAGGGACCTCTCCAAAGTATTGAAGAGTAATGATGTTAGTTTGAGGACAGAGGTGCTTCTGATTCAGCCATAGTCTTTCCGATTATTTGCTATGCATCTGAGAGCTGGACAATGGATAAGGATGACAAAAGAAGAAATTATGCCTTTGAGCTGTGGTGTTGGACAAGAGCACTGAACATCCCATAGACAGCCAAGAGAACAAACAGATATGTCTTGGAGAGGGTGCAGCCAGAGTGCTCTTTGGAGGCAAGGATGATGAGGCTTTGCCTCATATACTTTGGTCATATTGCTAGAAGGGGTTATTCCTTGGAGAGGAACATGATGCTGGGAAGGGTGGAGGGTCAGTGAAGGAGAGGAAGACCCTCCACCAGGTGGATTAACATGGTGACTGCCACAATGGACACTTGTGTGTGAGAAAGTGTGAGCATGGCACAGGATTTCAGATCTTTTGTTCACAGGGTAACTATGAGTCATACTCAACTCGATGTTACCTAACAACAACAATAATCTGAGTACAGAAGAATAATTGCTTGCTAGAAACACATTAAGCCCATTAAAAAATCCCAAGTCATAACATTTTAGTCAAACCAACTGTGATTCACAGTAACACTGCAAGATAGAGTAGAACTGCCCGCTAGAGTTTTGAGGAAATTTTTATGGAAGCAGACTACCACATTTTTTTCCCTGTAGAGCAGGTTAGCAGTTTAAACCATCAACTCTGGAGGTTGGTGGTCAAATGTTTTCACATGGCTGTAAATTTTACTGAAGGAGACTGCTCATTTTCCCTCGAGAGAAATGGCTGGTGGATTCAAAACACCAACTTTTCAGTTAGTGAGAAGCCTTACCAGGGCTGCTTTCCCCAGTCATCAAAACGTACTGCTGCTGCATGGATTCTGACTCACAGCTATCCTGCATTGAGTTTCTGAAGCTCACAATCACAAGTAGAGAGGAGACTATCAATTTTCTACCAGAAGAGAAACCTCTGGGTTAGCAGTGTAACTTGCTATGGGTTATGCCAACAGAAAGTGAGAAAAAAAAATCAAAGAAACTCTGATTGGTCACCTTTGAAGGCTCTTAATGGACCAACTAATTATTTTAAAAACCTGATAAATGAAGGGCAAAATGGGAATTTATTCTGCCTTTACTACAGAAATATTTCAGGGTGGTTGATAAGGTAAAGTTCTTCTTTATAAACATTATCCCAGCTAATAATGTAGCTATTCTATAAAGAATTATAGAATTCAAACATCACCACTTTGCAACCCCCAGTGAAAGTACAGTCCATACAATGATCAACAACAGCTGCTAAAACTACTGGCTGATGATCTGACAGGGAACTTGGAACGGATGGATAAAGCAGGTTGATAGCTCCTGAACCCACGAGTCAATCCTAACATCATAAAAAGAGAGGCAACCAGACATTACATATGCCTTGATATACATATCATCCTTGCCTAACATCCCCTCAAAACAGAGTGCAATGTGAATGAGCCTCTAGTCTCAATCTAGACCACCAGCAAAGCAATACAGCAATATAGGAATGAAGGATACTGTTAGAAAACACCCAGGAATATCATTAGCATCTCTAGAAACCTTATTTCTCCAACAAAACAAAAAAAAAAAGAAAAAGAAAAGCAAATGTGTGTGTATTGGGGGAGTGCTGGCAGAAGAAATATTAATGCAGTATATAGACTGTTTGAATGAAAATAAACCTATTGTCTTTAGAAAATGAGATAATTGAGGACATCTGAACATTGACCAGATACTTAATTATTTTTAAGAAATGCTTTAAGGTACAATACATGGCTTGCTGGCACAAAGAATCTTTACATTTCAGAGACAAATACTAAAATATTCACCCATGAAATTATTTGAAATCTAGGAATTACATCAAAATTGTCTATTGAGAAGAAGGTCTAGAAGAGTAGATCAAGATAAGAGGAAATAACACTGGTAGTGAGTTAGCAAGTGTGGAGCTGGATGCTGTGATTTTCTCTGCTTTTATAAATGCTGGTAATTTTGCATAGTAAAATTTTAAAGACAGAGGAAAAAAATAACTTTTCCTAATAGAGCTGTTCAGGAAAGGAATAGCTTCATTATCCCCAGCTCTTCTACCACAGAAAAATTTCAATTCTTGTCCCCCGAGTTTGCTTTCTTTAAGAGATTTAGTAGTTTAGTTTAGTTTACTTTAGTTGTCTGGGAAAGGAAAAGCCTGGAGTATAGATTCCTCTTATAAATTATGCCTAAGAGGACAACATTGGACATCCATAGTATACAAGGACAGGCCTGTGGCAGAAATAAATATATACCACCTGCACGCTTTCCTAAGTCAGCTCATGCTGCAAATTCCCAACGGTGGCCCCAAGGAGTGCTCTAAGAACCAGCTCTAAGAAAGAATTTGCCAGGTTCGTAAAAATTCTCAAACACTAGACACGTTTCTGGATTCCAGCAGATGGCACTATTTCCCCAATTAGAACATCACAGCAACTGCAGTCCCAAAGTTGGTCCTTTCTTTTCATACCTGCTGGAGTCTGAGGGACTATGGATACAATATGCTCCCTTTAATCTCAGCTTGACGTGTGTCAATTGAGTATAGGAAGCTTCTTGAGAAACATTTTTGTTTGACTGAGAAAAGTGATTCGAAAGAACAGCCATAAAAACAGGATGTAAATTTTCAAGCAGCAATGTAGACTTGGTCTTAAGAGCAAGAAGGGTATGTAGTCATGTGAACACCTTTCTCCAAGATCCTACTGCTTTTGGGTGTAATAAGTGTCACGAGGTTATCCTTACCAGTACGTACACAAACTTCACCACTCAGGTGCCACAATTAATCAGGCTTATTTTAAGAGCATTAGAAATGAAGAAAACTCTACATCAAAGCAAGATTATTAGCCTTCACCCTGCCTCTAAAATATCAAAACCAACATCTCTCCTCATCTCTGGACACTTGAGTCCCTAAAGGGCCCAGCTGAGCAAACAGAGACCTCTAATAACCAAATTGCCAACCACAGGGTTAAACTACAAAGTGAAAACTTCCCTTATTTCATTATCCAAATAATTGGGAAGTCCTAGATTTAAGTTGTAATAGCTTTGTCTTCAGGCTAATCTAAATCCTCCATTCCAATCACCCATCCTTATCCTTGTTTCCTCCTAAATACAAAGACAAGCACAGGAAGGTCCTTGGAAGGCAATGCAACTTCTATATTTTTTCCTAGACCATGTCCAACAAGAAACCCCAAGACTCACAGACCCTACCTGGAAGTGCAAAATAATGGTCCAGATCAGGCCCAGAGTCAGCTTGGGGTTGCCATCTGTGATGTCATCATTACGAATATTCACTAGTTTCACCTGAAAAATAAGACAAAAAAATTCAGAGAACCCTGTTTTGTTTTGCGATTTTATAGATTCGCATTACATAGAGAATGAAAACATACATTTTGATATATATTTCTATGACTTTTCATGTATGTAGGGATGTGTGTAACCACCATCACAGTCAGGATAACAGAACAGTTACTTTACTCCAGAAAGTTCTTCCATTTTGTCTCTGTAACAAAGCTTCTCCGTACACTTAACTCTTAGCAACCAACAAAGTGTCCAGTTCCTAGTTTTACCTATTCCATAATGTCAGAAACAACCACACAGTATGCAACCTTTTGCTATTTGCTTGTTAATTCAGCGTGATGACCTTGAAAAATCCACCTAAGCTCTTATATGTATCAAGAGTTTGCTCCTTTTTATTCTTGATTAGTATTCCTTTGTATAGATGTACACTGTGTTTATCCATTTACCCAATAAAGAATATTTGGGCTGATTCCAGTTTGAGGCAATTATAAGTAACGTTTGTAAGCCTAAGTTTTCTTTTCTCCAGGGTATGTACATTCCTTGGAGAAGGGTTGCCAAGTGACATGTGTAGCACCATTTTGAATTCCCATCAGCAAGACGACCTTGCGGTACATGATACCGTAAGCTTCTTTTTCATTAAATCATCAGGACACTGACCTTTTTTTTGGGGGGGGGGTGAGGGTGGGGGTGGTTTAATAGAGAGCTCTCTCTTCTTCCTGACTAGGCTTTGAGTTCCAGGGTATTGAATAAACACACTAGGCCACTAACCAAAAAGCAGTTCAAGTTCACCCAAAGGGACCCTGGAAAGAAAACTGAAAATCTACCCACTAACAACCCTAGGGAGTACAGTTCTACTCTGGTCCACATTGATCACCCTTAATCAGAATTAACTTGAAAGAAACTCATAATAATCATCTGGAATCAAATATAAATCCCTCACCAGTCCTTGGCCTGATGTCACCTCCATTTCCCCTTCTTTCAAGCAGATAACTATCTTTGCTTCTCATTGAAGTATAGCTTTATTTCTAAAATTTCATTACAACAGTACAATGTATACATATGCAAAGATCTTCCCCTAAGTTTTTTTGGTTTCCCAGGTCAAAGGCCTTTCCAAAGCTAAGCCAGGAGCAGCCTGGGGAAAGAGAGACAGCTGCTCATCCTACTTCCACCTCAGTCTCTCAGTTACCCTCTCCTGACATGCCCTCATGGAGTCCCTGTTTAGTTGTAGTCTACTGTTTATCAGATGCTCCCTATTCACCTCTGCAACTGAACTGAAGTCTGTGTGTTAAGTAAGAACAGAGCCCTTAATGCACTAGAGCAAATAGAGAAATAGTTTAGTAGTGAGGGTTATGGTACAAGTAAATTTCTGTGAGAGCACAAACTAAAAGAATCTCCCCCGTCAGTGAGAATTGTTGAAAAGAGTGCCAACACTGGGCTGTTTCTCACCTGCATTCGTACCATTACCCCTCATCTTTACCCTTCCTGCTGGTTGGCAATACCAATACCAAGCGTCTCCTCCCACACAGCTCATTCTAAAATAAACGCCTTCACTTCCTCATCTATTTTCTTCTTCACTGCAAATTCTGTTTTTATTCTTCTTTCCTTTCTTTTCCTTTTATCTCAGAAGAGGTAAAAAAAAAATATTTTTCAAAGGTAACAGCTCTGAATTCCATCCCTTAATTCTGAAACTTGGTTCCAGAAACAGGAAGCTTTGAGATGAAGGACGGTGTAAAGAAAACATTCTCGGTCATGGAAGGAGCACTAAACTCCAAATCTGACCTGGTTTAAAGTATAGATTTTGCTCTACCTTGTTATGTAATCTGGACTGGGCCATTCTGTCTGTGTTCATTTCAGTTTGCTCACTGATAAAATTAAGAAACTGACTCAAGAAATCTCTCAGGTGTCTGAGGCCTAACATGTAATCTTAAATTCTTCACTGGTTTCTCCTATGTTTAAAAATGCATTGTTGTTGTCTTCCTTCCTTATCCAGGGAAAGAAAAGTTTCTCACTCCCTTCTTAGACCTATGTGTCTGCAATATCCAAATTTTACTGTTCTATTCGTTTGTTAAGGCAGCAATGCCTAATAGCCAAACTTTTTTTTCCTCACACTTGATGCGGCACTCAAGAGTTTTCTAATCACATCCTCTTTTGGTTTTTCCGATGATGTAGCATGCCGATTCTCCCTCTTCCTAGACATTACCACTTCTTTTTCATTTCTTTACTGGTTTATCATTTGTCTTCACTTTGATGACCTTGTGAGGTCCGTCTCTACCTGAGATAGGTCCCTAAGGCTCAATCTTCATCGTCTTGCTCTTCTCAGTGAACACTGAGCTACTCTCGGAGGCCATACCTCTAAAGTCTAACTACCAAAGAACTTGCCCAACTATAGTAGGATTGCTTCCTAGCAAGGGAGAGTCAGAACTGGGTCAGTGAGATTTAGCATTGACTAAGGGCTTATGAAGGTCACTGAGAACATCCCTAAGTAATGCTGCAATGCCAACAGACTCTGGCAGAAGGAGGGGAAGCACAAAATATTCTTACCTGTTGCTTCTTCAGGAAGTCCAGGGCAATTTGCACATTTTGCAACCTATGAAAACGCATCCTGCCCTTCTCTCGGGGCTGCAAACAAAACAAAAAGATTAATTTTTTTGTCATATCATTTATCCACATAGATTCCTTTCCTCTTTTATTTCAGTGACAAGAATGAATTTCACATAGTGGAAGCCAGATCTGAAAACCCTGAATATAAAACATCCTTCAAAGCCAGAATTGTGTTAGTTTCACCAGGTTCTCAAAGATTCCCCCACATGCCTTGTTGACCACAGTATATGTCATTAGCACACAGATACATTTTGACTGATGTCACAGCATTAGAGTTGTGGCACCTTTACAGAGTCCTCAGGTAGCCAAGACAGAACTTGATTCTGGGTGTGAGGTTAGTAAGAATGACGACTATACCTCTACGGCTCCTAAAAATCACTATGAAAGTTTACTGTAAAGGAAGGAAGGAAGCCCTGATTGCACAAACAGTGTTAGTCTTGCTATAAACTAGGTCAAAAGACTGAGAGGCAATCTATTCAAAGCATGGTGTATCAGAAGTCCCATATGCTTCACAAGTAAGCAAAAAAAATAAAAAAGGAAGAACAAAAATCACGAAGTAACCAGTTACCTAGGAAAATGGATGGTAGTGAAAAAAAAAAATTAAGAAGAAAGAAAATGGGTGGTACTATAGGGAAGGAACCTTTTACTCTAGAATGAAATACATCCAGTGAACAAAGTCTTGATGATACAGACTGTTGTTAGGTGCCATCAAATCAAGTACAACTCATAGTGACCCTATGAACAAAAGATCTGAACCCTGTCTGTCCTGCACCATCCTCACACTTCCTGACACACAAGTGCCCATTGCAATAGTCACTGTGTCAATCCACCTGGTTGAGGTTCTTCCTCTCCTTCACTGACCCTACAGACTACTGAGCATAATACCCCCAAAAGTTATTCTTTGTTCCCAATCCTGCTGGTCATTCAATCCTGGATGTCAAAAGATCCATCTCCACCTGGTGCCTTTGCACCCCCATCCAAAGCTCAACTACATTCCAATGCTTCTTATATTTTACTCAAATTAGGGGCTAGATTATGCTCAATTTCTCATGTCAATAATACCAGTTTAAAAGGTAATGAAATGTAAGGGAGCTCTGCTGTGGGCATTTACAGAGAAGAAACACTGCTCTGAGGCCAAAATGAGGGGGAAAAGGTGGAAGCATCTCCACGGGTACTCTCAACACTGTTAAGTAACACTCCCAGATGAAAATAGTCTCCAGAGGTGCCAAGCTTTCTCTGGGAAACAAGGTAACTTTCTAAATCACAGATTTAGGAAACATCTTCAGCAAGAACCTTTTCTTAGTGACCTCAACTATGCTGTAAAGATGTCTCAGGGAACGATCAATCCAAAAATATGTGTGATCTACTAGGCAATTGCAACTCATGGCAGAAGATGTGTTTCTAAGTGGAAAAGTTCCACAGACTTCTCCTGACTGTAATCTGGTGGAAGCAGATTTCCAGGCCTTTCTTCTTTGGCACTGACAGGTAGGCTTGAACTACTACTGGTTAGTGCTCTGTTGTTCTCAGGAGGCACAGAGTCAATTCTGACTCACAGGACTCCATACAAGACAAGTAAGACTATCTCTTGGGTTTTCTGGCTGCAATTTGTATAGGAACAGATTGCAAGGTGTTTCCTGTGAAGCCACTAGGTGAGTTTGAGACTCCAAACTTTCAGTTAGTAGCCAAGTCCATAACTGTCGGGCCTCAAGGATTCCTCAGTCAAATACAAATAATCTGTGTGAAATTGAAGATTCTAAGACAATGGAAGAGGGATAGCGAATCAATATGGTAAGATGACTTTAAAGGACAAGGATGTGAATGCTGCTTACTCCTCCTCTCTGGGGAAAGATGATGAACTGTAATTCAGGGCCTAAGTAAGAAATACCCCTCTTACACACTCTCCTTTACCATCACCAAAATAAATACCCTAAAACGTGCAAGTTAAATAGCTGTCTTCTGCCAGCAACTCCATGCAGTGAGTGGTATATAAACAGGATGCTTTGAAAACAAATGGCATGGTGCGTGTGAAAAACTGAGGGCTACAGCAGTGGATAAAGTATTGGTTAGTCTGGAGTATGGTGCCATGAGCAATTCACTGTCATGCTATCAGCTAAACCCTTTGCAACTCTGCAATCTGAATTCAAACAACACAGCAAGGCCACCAGAAAGCTACAGGTCTCCAGGTCACAACAGGGCTTGACACCTCCAAACATCACTATTTGTTTGGTGTCAACCACTCTTAGATAAGCAAAACAATTCCCACTGCAGGATCAGGTAACAGGGGAAGGAGGTATAATTAGTTTTAACCACTTTCTTTGGGACCTACATTCCCAGGTGGAAAGGGTAGAAGGCAATTGGTAATTGAGCTACTTGGAGACCTTGAGAACCTCAGACCCTCTAATGGCCCTGCAGTGCCAGCTGGGGTGCTGGCAACCCCAGGAGGACCTACTACATCATCATCATCTTCCTCCTCTTGCTCCTCACTGTTTGTATGACGCCACGAGGGCATGCTCACCAGGCGGAGGGTCTTCAGCCCTGCTGGCTCCTTGAACCATCAACCATGGCAAAGACACAATAAATCAACAAAAAATACACAGCATAAAAGGGAAATGAAATGAATGCAACATTAAAAAAACAATAAATAAAATAAAACCTCAAGGTGAAAATACCCTCCCCACCTCCAAAAAGATACAAAATCAGAGAAGCAGATGTTTACACCAAATACATAATTTGAAAGGTGTCTTCCATTCTCCATATTCACCCACCCTCTGCTTTTATGAATCAACTGAGGGAGAGACTGAGGATAAATAAAAAAAATATAAAATTAATAACACCATCAAAATTTCCAAAAATATAACTGTATGAACATCAAAGAGTAAAGTCTAGCACAACTAAAGTAAAATTCTGGTTTATTTTTAGATGGTAAATAGGAATTAGTAAAGAACATGTATTTGTCACATGTTAAGAACTGGCTATGAATTGGCTGTGCTCATTTAAGCTGCTTTCTCTCCATTTAAGCCATTAGAAAAGTATAAATCCCATTGTAAGGCAAACAAAGATGTGAAACCAAAACAAAGGACTGAGAGGAAGCCAAGCTCTAATCCTAGAAGGAGTTGAGTATTACTTAAGAAGCCAAAATTTGATGTGCCAAATTCTGATCTTTAAGTAAAACAAACAATGACTAAGAATTCACCAAAGGCAGCGAGTGGGCTAGGTTTCACTAACTACTCAAGCTGTGCACCTCTTCCGTTCCCTTCTTCCCCACAGATGTTTCCACTATACAACCTCTCAGATTTTTCTAAATGAAATTTATGCTGCTTGTATGTTAGAGATTTGAACTAAAGAGGACTGCCTATTGGGCTCAAATGCATCCAATACTCAGGTTACTATAAGCCCTAAAACAAAGCAAATGCAAGAACTATCACCTGACAAGTGACAAGGCTCAGATAGGATTATCTTCAGAAACACAGGCATTTCCCATAGGGATCTTGAATATAGTTTAGGAAGAGGCAGCCATATTTCATGATCTAAGTAGCAAATGAGTAGAGTAGTAACATCTACTTCTCTAGCACACAACAAGAACAAACTATAAGGTATTTTAAAAGCCACATATTTGAGGTCCCCATTAGAAGAGAGAAGCTTACCAGTTTGATGCCGGAAAGGACCTCCAATAGAGAGATCAGGTTATGTCCATCCCGCAGATCTTCATAAAGATCATTGATGTGCTTTCGGACCTGGGAGTGAGAATGGAAAATAATTTTATTTGATCTTTAATGATGTATATACACAAGAATTTCTGGTTCTAGGTAAACTCAGTAAATCTTAATCTAAAAGCAAGAATAGAGTCTGTATAGAAGGTTAGTAGGGAGACAAATCTGCGTGCTGTGAGTTCTTACCACGCCGGCTGCTGCAGCATCAGAAAAAAGTACACTAAAACCAGGAAAAGAACATGGAGGAAGATAAAATAGCGGCTCTTCGATCCAAGCTCAGAGAGGTTGAGGATGAGCGACTGAAAGCTGCACAGTATGGTTTACAACTAGTGGAGAGCCAAAATGAGCTGCAGAACCAGCTGGATAAGTGTCGTAATGAAATGATGACCATGACTGAGAATTATGAACAAGAAAAATACACTCTTCAGAGAGAAGTTGAACTCAAGAGTCGGATGTTAGAAAGTTTGAATTCTGAATGTGAAGCTATAAAACACCAACAGAAAATTCATTTGGAACAATTAGAAGAACAGCTGAACAGACGCCATGGGCAGGAAGTGAATGAGCTAAAAAACAAGTTAGAAAAACTGAAAGCTGAATTAGATGAAGCTAGGCTCAACGAAAAGCAGCTGAAGCACAAAGTAGATCATCAGAAGGAACTCCTCTCTTCTAAATCAGAGGAAATACGCGTAATATCTGAACGGGCGCATGAGAGCATGTCTTCAGAGATGTTGAGTCTTCAGACTGAGTTAATTGAAATGGAAAGTGTGAAGACAGCCCTCGAAGAAGAAGTGAACAAACTACAGTATAGAGAAGAACAACTCGAACTTCTTAGTAATAACTTATTGCGGCAGGTAGACCGACTCAAAGAAGAGAAACAGGAGCGAGAGAAAGAAGCAGTATCATACTACAATGCCTTAGAGAAAGCTCGTGTAGAAAATCAAGATCTTCAAGTGCAGTTGGACCAGGCACTTCAGCAAACCTTGGACCCCAGTAGTAAAGGCAACTCCTTGTTTGCAGAGGTAGAGGACCGAAGGGCAGCAATGGAACGCCAGCTTATCAGTCTGAAAGTCAAGTATCAGTCCCTTAAGAAACAAAATGCTTTTTATAGAGAACAGATGCAAAGAATGAAGTTACAAATTGCCACATTGCTACAGATGAAAGGATCTCAAACTGAATTTGAGCAGCAGCAACGGTTGTTTGCCATGTTGGAGCAGAAGAATGGCGAAATAAAGCATCTATTAGGGGAAATTCGAAATCTAGAGAAATTTAAGAGTTTGTATGAAAAGATGGAATCTAAGCCTTCAGCCCACTCTGGTGTTCTGGAAGATAATACATATTATACAGATTTACTTCAGATACAGATTGATAACTTAACCAAAGAAAATGAAAGTACTAAAAGTGAACTATCCTTACAGCGAATGAAAGCATTATTTGAGAGCCAGCGAGCTCTGGATATTGAACGAAAACTTTTTGCAAATGAAAGATTCTTCCAGCTTTCTCAAAGTGAAAATATGAAACTGCGAGCTAAGCTTGATGAATTAAAACTCAAGTATGAACCTGAAGAGAATATAGAAGTGCCTATACTAAAAAAGAGACGTGAGGTACTGCCTTTGGATATAAACACTGCTACAGAAGAATGTGCCAACAAGGCCGTGGAGGAAGACGTTTATAACTTACCAACTCAAGGAGAGGAAGCACAGTCCTGTCCTAACAATTTAGAAGATCACGTGCAGTTAGAGAAAACAGTTTCTGCAAACACACCAGAAGGCAGTCTTTCTCCACACAAAAGTCTGTCAATTGATGAGCAACGAGTGGTGGAAAAGAAACGTGTGAAGCTCGTGGACATTCCAGTTGACTCCGAAGCTTTAAGTGGAAGAAGTGGAAACTGCCTGAACTCTCCCAGGTTAACTGCAGAATCAAAGCCTCAAGCAGAAGTTAAAGAAGGGAAAGGAACTGCAAGCAAATTGAAAAAGGAAACTTGTAAGAAATCCCACCCTATTCTATACGTGTCGTCCAAATCAACTCCAGAGACCCAGTGCCCTCAGCAGTAAAGTATTTTCTTTAATAGGAGGACGGTACCATTTAACCAAAAGGTTGCTATGGAGTTTAATTTAGGTGGTCTTTATCCAAAGTACACTAACTTTTGGGTTATTTATATCTACTTATTATGCCAGGACATTGCATTTTCATTGACCAGATGCTAAAAATTTGGTTGTGATTGTAACATGGAGGGTTCATTAGGAGGGTTCTTTCATGGAGTTTCTGTGAATTACAGAAACAAAACCATTAACTGAAGGGAATGTTAAAATATATACTTTTTTTCTGCTACATTGTGTATGGGTTTTTAGTGATGTGAACAGCCACTGGCAGTAATTTAACTTCAGAGCCATATATTTGAAATGAGAACAGCACTGAAACTATTAACTGTTATATTTTGCTATATATTTTTATGAGCTTAGTTTTTCAATATGTCATAAAAATAAGAAACTTGATTGTAAAATATTTATTATTATTACAGAATTTCATCATTATTTAAAGAACCTAAATCAGCCTTTTTACTTGCATATCAATTTAAATTTTGTCTTAAGCCATTTTATAAAGCAATTATTTTGAAATTTAAATAAAACTGCAATGATTTCTCCCTTAAAAAAAAAAAAACAAAAAAAAAAGGATAGAATAATAAAATCCAAGAATCTCGTAATATAAGAAGTAGCTTTTATTTTGTTTTCATTGTTGAACATCCTTGTTCCTGATTGTTGTCATATTGGTTTTGTTTTTAATATAATCAAATCTATTATACAAATAGGGCGATCTGATGGTCTACTAGTAAGAAGCTGTGCTGCTATGCCAAAGGTACATGGTTCGGATCCACCAGATACTCCAGAGAAGAAGGATGTGTGATTTATTACCTCTGAAAACCAGCTGGAAGGTCAGCTATGGGTCCTCTCTGAATTACAACATAACAACTCTCATAACAACAACAACAACATTTTACAAAATGGGTAATACCAAGCTCTGGAAAGTGACAGTAAGTCTTCAGATTCATTCCAAGGCTCACACAATTTCATTATGTGATGGTCAGAAAACAGAATTAGAAGACTGACGGATTTCCAATCACAAGAATTATGCAGGCAGACTGTAGGATTTGAAGATTTCCACTTTTGAGTGAAAAATGAAATTACACAGATAACACCTAAGATCTTGACAATTGTAATATTCTAGCATTCATTCATTGTTGTTGTTGATGATTGCCGTAGACTTGAGCATGACTCGTAACACTATGAACAAAAAGGCCTGAAGCCTTTATATAACTATCGTTGTTTCTCCAAATTCATGCTTCCAATATACTTGTGGAGAACAAGTTTTTTGGACAAGCTCGACAGCCATGGTTTTCTCTCTCTGCTGGTTTCTTTAGGCCTCAGAACAAACGTAGTGAATATAAAAAAAGAATTTCACTCCTACATGTTTATCCAAGAGTGAAAAAAAATGCATATATAAATATATTAGAAATAGGGAAAAATAAAGGGAAGACCTCTCAGTAAAGATAAGATTGGAAAAATTAGATGTTTGGATATGAAAAAAGAAAGATCTGAAAAGACAGGAAAGTATCCTCGGAAAATTAAACATAGAATTTACCATAGGTTTGAGAATTCAAAAGAAACTCTTGATATGCATTTTTCATAATGCCCCAAGCACAGAAACAATCCAGTGTTCAATAACAAATAAAAAGATAAACAAAATGAAAGATGATAACGTAAAATTAAGTTGATATATACAACAACATACACAGATGGGCCTTGAAGATGTGCTAAGTGAAATAAATCACTTATACAGATTACACAATCTTGATTGCAGAAACTGTGGAGGACTTGAACATTTGCTGCAGAAGGTCAACATCTGTCGTCTTCAATATGAATGGAAACTCAACATCAAGAAGCCAAAGATTCTCACCACTGGGCCAACTGGCAGCACCATGAAAGATGCGGAAGAGATTGAGATTGTTAACAATTTCAGCTTGCTCAGGTCTTTAATCAACACTCTTGGCACCAGCAGTCAGGTAAACAAATGAGAAATTGTAAGAGGAAAATCTGCTGTTAGGGATCTCTCCAGAGTGCTAACGTGCAACGATGTCAGTCTAGAGACTGAGGTGTGTCTGATCCAAGTCTTTGCAATTACTTCCTACACACCAGGGAGCTGGACAATGATCAAGGATGACAGAAGAATAATGTATGCCTTTAAGTTGTGGTGCTGGAGAACACTGAACATACACCATAGACTGTCAAGAAAACAAACAGATTGTCCTGGAAAGGATGACACCAATTTGTTCAAGGATTTTGAAATTCCATCTGATATACTTTGGGCCATTGTCAGGAAGGACCAGTCCTTGGAGAAGGACATCATGCTTGGAAGGATAGAGGAACAGTGCAAGAGAGGGAAACCTAGGAAATGGATTGACACAGTAACACAGAGCAATAGGGGTAGGTGTGTCACAAACAATGAGACTGGCTCAGGATAGGGCAGAGTCCACAACAATTGTACTTAGGGTTGCTATGAGTAGCACTCGACTCACCAGCCTATAACAACAAAGGACTGAAGGAAGTGATACCTAAAGGGGTACTGAGTTTTTGTTTAAGGTGATAACAATCTTTTGGAAATGGACAGTGCTGATGCTAACAGATGGGAACTCAGGTAGCCTAGTTTCAATCCTGAAGGTACAAATCCACCAGCTGCTCCATGGGATAAAGATGAGCAATCTCATGTTCAATTAACTGCCTCTGAAAAATCTGCCAGAGGGTCAGCTATGAGTCAGTTCTGACTTGACAGTACACGACAACAAACACAACAATGGTAACAGAACATGTTGAGTTTAATTAATGTCATTAAATTGTACACTTTTAGAAACTCTGTGGTTATATAGCTTTTCACAATTAAAAGAAAAAATTATGTGAAAACCACATAAGACTAGGTACACAAATATAAATATTAAAGGTATGTCTGGATTTATTAAAGAATAAGGTAACAGG